GAGAGAACTACTGAAAGGGTTTTTAGCTGCGGGAGCCATCCCATCCGATTAACATTCAGAGCATCGACTCCAGGCACGCTGTGCAGATTGGATTTGGGGAGCTAGTGGAGCAGGAAGAGCAGTTACGAGAAAGCAAGCAACTGCAGCTCAGTTTCCTCCTGGCAACCCCATCTCATCTGCCTCCGGAAGGTTCTCCCTTCTAAGCTCTCACCCTCCTCTCTGGCCAGGCCCCTTCACATCTGTTTCTCTTCTTGCAGCCCTTTGATGTGGCTGTTTGTCAGGACATATATTAACTTATCTTTTTCTTTTTAAATGTTTATTTGAAAGGCAGAGCAACAGGAAGTGTGAGAAAGATTGTCTACTCATTGATCCTCCCAGATGCCCCAGTCCAGCTTGGGCCAAGTCAAAGCCTTGTGCCTGGAAGCTGTTCTTGGTCTCCCAGGTGGGTGACAGGGACTCAAGAACTTGAGCCATCAGCTGATGCCTCCTGGAGCATGGATCAGATGTGGAAGAGCTTTCCTTATGAAGGACTACACCACTGTAGTCAAATGGGGAAAATCTGTCAGGGAGTGGGAGTTTGGGGGTAGTCCCAGCCTATATGAAATTGTACCACATAATTCAAAATTCAAAATAAAAATATATTAAAAAAAAGTGGGAGAGCTAAGATGAACTGGGCCCTCTAATAGGGGATGCAGGCATCCCAAGTGGTATTCTGACCGCTGCACCAAACACCCACCATTGTTCTTGGAATCTGACTAATCATGTTGTGATCCAGAAAAGTTGGCGTTATCCTGGACTTCCGTGTCTCTGTCACTGTGCTTCTTTAATGGGCTTCCGTGTTAGGAATAAAGGGTAAGGTTTTGGTGCTGTGTGCTCTGATGTACTTGGGAACCTAGTGAATTGCACCTAAGACACAGCACTGGTGAAGGAAGAGAGGGGTGTGTCTAGTGCACAGCTGGCAAGGTTCAAAGCCCAAAAGGCACCGTGTTGGCTTCGCCTCTGGTGAGCAGTCCGTCCTGGATGGTGAAACACCTGGACAGAGGGTTATACGGCAGGACAGGAAGCAGAGTTCAGGCCCAGACCGTGAGCATTCCCTCTCTAAGTCATGCTCCCGGTGACCTAAGGGTCTCCATTAGCTGCCACTGTTTATGTCATGATTGCGTAGTATCATTAACGTAAGACTTGGAGAACTAAACTGAATTTGGCCTGGGGTCAGGAGGTGGGAAGGAAACTAATACTTAAACCATAGCACCCAGGGATGCTCAGTTCTTCCTTTGCTGATCATTTTGTCTTTGCTTAGAACATTCTAGTGATCTCACAACTGGCAAGATAAGGTACCAAGCAACATAGAGGATGTCACGTGATGCCATTTTGATCTGGTATTGGTGGATTTTCCATCCTTATCTACTGCTATTTCTCTCTTAACTGCAATTGAATCGACCTTCTTGTTACTGCAGTTGAATTCTTGTTACTGCAATTGAATCGACCTTTTTGAAATTCCTGAATGTGTCATTGTGTTAGGGCTTACTACCTTGATATATGGTGTTTCTTCTGCTTGGAATACTTTTCCTTATCTTGCCTTTCTGGTGAACTCTTGGAATTGTTATTTATTTATTTGGCAAGACATGCCATTCTTTTTCTTTTCTTTTTAAAAGATTTATTTCTTGGGCCTGGCACAATCAGGCTCAGTGGCTAAATCCTCACCTTGCATGCAGTGGGATCCCATATGGATGTTGGTCCGTGTCCTGGCTGCTCCCTGCTTGTAGCCTCAGAAAGCAGCGGAGGATGGCCCGGACCCTGGGGACCCTGCACCCACGTAGGAGAACTGAAGGAAGCTCCTGGTTCTTGACTTCGGATCGGCTTAGCTCCGACCATCGCAGCTACTTGGAGAGTAAAGCAGCAGAGAGTAAAGAAGATGTTTCTCTCTAACTCTGTTTCTCTCTGTATATCTGTCTTTCCAATAAAAAAAAAAAAAGAAATCTTAAAAAAAACTATTTCTTTATTTGAAAGGTAATGTTAGAGAGGAGAGACACAAAGAGAAAGAGAATCTTCCATCTGCTGGTTCATTTCCTAAATAGCAACATTGGCCAGGGCTAAGCCAGGCTGAAGCCAGGAGCTAAGAGCTTCTTCTGGATTTCCCACATGGGTCCAGAAGCACAAAGATTTTGCCCATTTTAGGCTGCTTTCCCCCAGTGCATTGGCAAGGAGCCAGATTGGGATTTAAACTGGTACTTTGGTTGCCAACACTACAGGCCATGGCTTAACCTGTTGTTCCACAGCACCACAGGAGTTTTTGAAACTAGCCCATTTAGCATTTGTCTTGCTGCACTCCCCTGACTAGTGTATGTGTCCATTCATTTGTGAAAACCCTGGGTTGGTCTTTTCATTATTCTGACTTGATGGCCTAGCTCATGGTTAAGTGTCCTGCGAATGGACTTGCCCAGCAAACTTCATCCTTGTTTTCTTGTCCTTGTGCTGTGTTTATGTGAGGTTAGTTATCACATTGTTGCTAAATATTCCAGCAAAAAAGTACATTGTATACTTTCAGAGATTCTGTGTTTTCTACAATTTATGGATACAAGGTATATATTTATTTAATGAAACCAAGTCTAAAAAAAGACATTTTCAAAAAAAAACTGGGGAAAGAATGATAAAGAGCATTTTGAAGCTAGAAGAAACCCTGGGTGGTCTTTGAGGGAAAAAGAATTACTCACTTTGGCAGTTCTTTAGAAGCTTGCAAATCTGGTTTGAGTAACTGGCACCTCATCCCCCTCTGGACCTCCCCTGGATGTCTCTAACCTAAGCGGTTGGACTGCAGCAGTGGGCTGGACCTGACATCCTGGAAGAATGACCCAGCAGCAGAAAGGTACCAGTGTCTGACCCCGCAGACTGTTGAGTAATTGTGCCTTAGTTCCTGGGAATTAGTGTTTTTAAGACTCTCCTTGGATGGACGTTTGGTACAGGGGTTAAGTCACTGTTTAAAACATCTACATCCCATAATGGAGTGTGTGGTTTGAATCCTGGCTACTCCACTTCAGAACCAGTTTCCTACTAATGCATATCCTACTTGGAGGCAGCAGGTGACGGCTCAAGTGTTTAGGCCCCTTGCCATCTATGTGTTAGACAGGCATTGAGTTCTGGCCCTTGGCTTCTGTCTGAGCTGGCACTGACTGTTGCAGCATTTGGGGAGTGAACAAGCAGATGGAAGATCTCTGTCTGCCTCTCTCTTATTACCTTAAAGAGCAAAAGAAAAAGGGAGGAAAAGAAAAGCAAGAAAAGAAAAAGAACCAAGGAGATAAAATCCCCATTCTTGTTAATTCCAATGTATGCCCGCTGTGGAGGACTAGTGCATTAGATGAACTCAGAGGTTTGTCTCATAACAAACTCACATTTTCTATCTCTGTTTGTTTTCAGGCTTCCAGGAAGTAGTTGTGTAAAGTGAACATTTTAAAATTGCATGCTCTCAGTTTTGGTCCTTGACCTTTGCAAGAACTGTCTTCAGCATCTCTTAAATTTCTTCCATGTAATTCATCAAGCTTTCACTCTTGCTGTCTCAGTGTCCTTGAGGCTTTAACAGAACAATGAACACCCTGCCTGCTCTTCAAGCTCTCACCCCATCCCGACTCCCTTCCCTTCCCTTCTCTTGTGTTAATTTATTTTTAAAGATTTATTTATTTTTGTTGAAAAGACAAATTTATAGAGAGAAGGAGAGACAGAGAGGAAAGATCTTCCAAACACTACCCCAAATTTCCACAATGGTTGGAGCTGAGCTGATCTAAAGTCAGGAACTTCTTCCAGGTCTCCTATGTGGGTACAGGGTTTCAAAGGACTGGGCCATCCTCCTCTTCTTTCCCAAGCCACTAGCAGAGACCTGGGTTGGAACTGAAGCAGCCGGGACATGAACTGGTGCCCATAGGGATGCTGGTGCTTACAGGTGGCCAGTACGCCAACCCTTCTTGTGTTAATTTAAAGGAGTTCTCTTGTTTGGTGAATTCGACTGCTTACTTGCTCAGCCCTTAAGATCTGTTTTTGGTCGTTGTCTCTGATAGGAAGAAGTTTGCCTCCACAGATGTAGCAACCTCCAAGGGGCCAACCACACTTGTCTGTATCACAGTACTGCTTTTCTCCGTGCAGTTTCTGACACCATGGAATTGGTGACCTCTTCCCTCTTAAAATGTGTCTCTATTCTTAGCTTGTGTCTGTTTTATCTCTCTGACTGTTCTGCTTTGTTGAGATATTGAGGAAATTTTACATGTTTGAGCATGCATGGTGATTTAGTTATCCTTTTAGATTTGTTCATTCAGTAAGTATTGAGTGAGAATCAGTTTTCCATTGCTATATGACAGATGACCATAAATAGAGTGGCTTAAAACAGCATGTACTACTTATTTCACAGTTGTTATGGAGCAGGCATCTGAGCCAGGTGAGGCTCTGCCCTGAAAACCAGGGTCTGCCATGTGCTGTAGTCCTGGTGTGGCCAGGAGCTTAAGTCTCATCTGAAGACATACCTGGTGCAGGACCCTCTCCCAACCTCCATGGTGTAATATGTTGGCTATGTTGAACATCCCTGCCTCTGCAGGGGCAGCTGGAGAAATCAAGTCCCTGGGAGACTGCAAGAAAGAGAAGACACTAAACATGGACTGCTTTAGAAGAGGATATAAAACTAGAGTGAACATAGAGTTAATGAAATGGCACACACACATTGCACACATTTCGAAACAGCTAAGTGAACAGAGTGATTTCCTAAGTGGAATGTCATTGTGATGGTGGGGTTTGTGTGGGAATCAGGGGCGGGCCATCAATATAAGCAAGAATGAATGTAGCTCCTCACAATCCAGCATGGTACTTTTGTCCTCATGGAGGTGATAAAATGAAATACAGAACTCCTTGGACTCGGAGGCTCCCTTTGTGTCTAGTTCTACAGGGTGTGCCAGTGAGTATGTCAATGGTGTGATGTGAGCTAGCTGTACATGATTCTGACGCCTAACTTTGTTTTCTAGGAATATTCTGAAAACAATTGCTCTGGGCCAGATGTTGTCCTTGTGTATATGTGGGACAGCCATCAGCAGCCAGTATTTGGCAGAAAAATACAAAGTGAACACCCCCATGCTTCAGAGCTTTATCAACTATTGCTTGCTGTTCGTGGTTTATACCATGGTCCTGGCATTTCGATCAGGTATGTCAAATGTGGGAGTTACCTTTCCAACAAAATTACCTTCATGAATGTTGACTTCCAGAACCCTTCCACCCCTGCCCACAGAAACACCCACAAAGTATAACCAAGAATAAGAAACTGCAGCTGTATTTACAAGTTATTAGAAAAATACAACATCCTTGAAGACCATGGAAGTGATGTCGGTAGATTTATGCATAACCATCTGAACTTGTTGATTAAAATAAGTAACACCAGACTGTAACAGGTTAGAAGCTATAAAATTTTGAAAAGGTGTGAATCTGTTGAGTTTCATGTACCCCCTCCTCCCCGTGGTTGATAAAATTAAGACAGTATGGGGCCCGACTCGGTGGCGCAGTGGTTAAGGTCCTCGCCTTGCACTCCCGGGATCCCATATGGGCGTCGGTTCTAATCCCAGCAGCCCCGCTTCCCATCCAGCTCCCTGCCTGTGGCCCGGGAAAGCAGTCGAGGACGGCCCAAAGCTTTGGGACCCTGCACCCGCGTGGGAGACCCGGAAGAGGCTCCTGGCTTCGGATCGGCATAGCATCGGCCGTTGCGCTCACTTGGGGAGTGAATCATCGGACGGAAGATCTTCCTCTCTGTCTCTCCTCTCTGTATATCTGCCTTTCCAATAAAGAAAATAAAAAATAAATCTTAAAAAAAAAAAGACACAGTATGAAAAGTGCTTGAAATATCAAAAACCTAATTTTTCGGAATGTATTTTTCACTTAAGTAGAGAATACTAAATGGGACATTGCTTGCCTGTTGAACAAGCCTGAATTTCTAGGAAAAACCAAGACAAGGAATTGACAGGTATCAGTAAGGAATTAACATCCTTACCATTGGCTGCCTAAACCACTTTGGAACCATTATTAGATAATTATTTCTAGCTGGAAATGGGAAAGAGTGAGATATCATTGACTTTTTTTTGGTGTGTGTCACGCCATCATTTTGGTTGCTTAAATCATCTCACATTGTGTATTAACTCATTAAGGCCTCACAACTCGGGAGAATATTATTATCATCCTCACTTTACACACGAGGAACCTGAGATATAGAACACTTCAATAGTTTGCTGTGGATCTTACAGGCAACCTGCTCTAATACTCAACCCCTCTGTAGTAGAAACTGCCCATGTTGCAGCCCCAAAAGTTCCTCCCACAAGAGAGAGGCATGACATTACCAAATAAAGCAAATGAGATTGAATTCAGAGGTGTGAAGAGAGTGGACATCTGAGATGGTGCAATCCCATTTTCATTATCTTTGACTCTTAGAGTCCCCACTTAAAATGGAACCGAATGTACCAGTTGTTTTGTTATGAGTTTTATGATTTGAGACCAGTAACTCATTTTTTAAAAAATACAAAGTGGAGGCTATGTGAGTGGGGAGACGGTTTTTAGGGGGAAACAGGAGATTTGGCCAGATCTTTAGGAGTTGTGAGTGGAAATGGTACCTGATTAACAGTCTTGCACACTGCTCATTCTGATGTCCCTGTGGCTCCCGGTGTAATATTGTGGTCCTCCCGAGGGACGGTCAGAGTGCTTTTTGCTGTCTTATAGAGAAGGCTAATTTTCTATTTTTGGGTTATTACTGCAATTTTGGTCTTAATGGAAACAAACTGATTGTGATTCTCACTGCTTTTATTTCTTAGTATGTTATCACATATGTGTACCAACTTCACATCTCCTGTGATGCTAGATTCTTTAGTGGGATTATGGTTAATCTGAATAAACAACAGTTGGAATGGTATTTCTATAACAGTACCACTAAGCCTTTTCCCTAGCTTGTCACTGATGAGTACATCTTCCAAAAGAATGCCCACTTGCAAAGGTTCCTTGAAGAATCCTATGATTGGAGGTCCACTGACTGGTTAATACACACAAACATAGGAAAACATTTCAGTTTATGTTTATGTTATAGTCTGTGGCTTGTCAGAAGTGGTGACAACCAAGCTCCTATATAAATACTGCATTACTATTGGAAAGGGATAGAAAACCTATCACTTTTTTCTGCTCTGTGGAACACGTGATCTATGTTGAAACTTCAGCAATGAGTCTCAAAAAACAATTGAATTTGCTGAACTGCTAGAGTTTGGGTTATGAGTAACAGAAATTAGGTGTGACCTCTTTCAAAATGCACCATATATCCTTTCTTGGGCTCACTAATTTGAAAATTATCAAAAGTTGTCAAAAGCAACAAGGACCAATTCAGTTTTTTCTCCACTTAGGTGCTGATAATCTTTTAGACATCTTGAAAAGAAAATGGTGGAAGTATATCCTCCTGGGACTGGCGGATGTGGAAGCAAATTACCTGATGGTCAGAGCGTACCAATACACCACTCTAACTAGTGTTCAGGTAAGGTGTGGTCCTCTGACTGCTAGAATTTTACAGCTTCAAGAACATGAATTCCTGTTTGTTAGCCTGGCTGTATTGAAATTCTGTTTCACTTGTAGCAAACCCAAGTACAGGTGGATGATATTTGTTTTCCAATAGAGCATATGTTCAGTGAGTAATGTTTATTGAAATTAGTGAAGTGTGTACAAGTTAATCACTTTCCACCCTGCTAATGCCATAGCAGATCATAATAGTTCCTACTAAAATAAATAGAAATGTTTGGTTGGCAGTTGATATTGTGATGTTGATGAGAGTTGCTTTATGCTCAAATGTGGCATATACAATTATTTGTACCTTGAAACTACTGAAAAATCGGAGATTTACTAGCAAAGTAGCTCTTCACAACAAAGAACCAATTAGAAAAGACTTAGTAAACATTTTGAAGACAGGTGGTACCCAAGGATATCATGGGCTGGTGAGATGGTATACAGGCTTGTAGTGCCTGCATCCCTTGGGGGTACTGAATCGTTTCCCAGGTGCTTCACTTCTGATCCAGCTCCCTGCTTATGGCCTGGGAAAGCAGTTGAGGATGGCCCAAAGCCTTGGGACCCTGTACTCATATGGGAGAAAAGGAAAAAAGTGCTTGGCTCCTGTCTTTGGACCATGCAGCTCTGACCATTGCAGCCCTGTGGGGAGATAACCAGCAGATGGAAAGCTCTCTCTGTGTGTCTCCTTCTCTATATATACATCTGACTTTCAAATAAAAATAATAAACCTTGTTTTAAAACCTCTCACCACTGTTCTTTGTTAAGTTTATTTTTACTGGATTAAAAGGAAAATGCGCCTAGATAGTGCTTTTTTTTAACTTAAAAAAATATTTATTGACCACCTACTAAGTGGTAGGCACTAAACTATCTACTGGAGACAAAGTTGTGAACAAAGTAGTTACACGTCTCTAACTGGGGCTGGTGTTTTGGCATAGCTGATACAGTTACTGCCTGGCACTTAGCATCCCTATGGGCCTGGCTTTGTGTCCTAGCTGCTTTACTCCAAATGCAGACCCCTGCCAACAGCCTGGGAAAAGCAGTGGAAGATTGCACAAATGTTTGGGCCCCTGCCACCCATGTGGGATGGTTTGAGAAAGCTTCAGTCTGGCTCCAGCCCAGCTGTTGTGGCTATCTAGGGAGTGAACCAGTGGAGGGGACGGCTCTGCCCCTGTGCCTTCCCTTCTCCTTGTAATTCTGTCAAATAAATAAGCAAATCTTTCTTTCTTTTTTAAAATTTTAAAGTCTATACCATTAGGAGCTTGCAATATTATTGTTGTGGATCAGGGAAAAGAAAGGATGTGATGATTAAATTATGTGGTGGCTTGTATAGTGGAGATGAATAAGAGAAGGAGATGAGGAGTGTTGGAACAGAGAGGAGGGATGAGGCATGAAGTTATGTAAAGGAAGATTTCTAGGTAGAGGGAACAACATGAACAACGGTCATGAGTGTATACAGCTTTTTAGGCATGAAAAGGAGTCAGAGGAATTGGAATGGAGGGAGAGAATGGAAGGTCGTAGGAGTTGAGGTCGGAGATAATGTGGAGCAGAGTTGGGGTGGCCATAGCTGTGAGGCTTTCAGGCTGAGAGCTGGGATGGCGAGGAATGATAGGATTCCATTAATATTTGTACATCACCAAATGTGTGCCAGGCAGATGAAAATCCCTGCCCTTGTGCAGCTGACCGGTGGTTCTGTGAACACTTTAAAGAGATCACAATCGTTTTGGTGTGGAGGATAACCCTGTGATGTGGGGAGGGTGGCAGGAAACTCATTGAAGAAGCTTCGTGGTGTCGCAGGTGGAAGATGCTGGTGTGGTGGTGTTCTCCAGCCTCATGCAACTGAGCCAGACTGTTAGCAAGCTGATGCTGACTCATGTCACTAACACTAAAATACTCTAGTGGAAGGAGTGAAAGCGCGGTAGACTCCAAGGTCAGATTTAGACTTCTCAGTACAGCAAATTTATAACTTTCTGGCTTCCTCACTACACAAAACAGAGATACTGTCAGTTGATCTCTAAATTTTAGGAACTGTGGAAAGCTAAAGTGATGGTAGGCTTACTTCACTTGGAAAAGAGAAAGGTTTTTAAAATCTCAGTAGTTTTCCCAAGGTAAATATACAATAGGCATTTAAGTTGTTTCTTGTTTGTAACATTATGCTAAACATGTCCTCAGCAAATCTCTTAATATTGTATTAGTTAAACACTGAGATAAGAATTTGTTAAGACAGACATAAGAGGTACATGAAGAATCCAAAATTTTATAAAAATTAAAACTAGGAGGTTCCTAGAGCATAGAGTTTATTGCCAATAGGATATGTGTACTTTTTATCATTAAGTAATGACCTACAAGCCTGTAGAAAATTTATTTATTTTGTTTTAAAGGCAGTGTGACAGAGAGAAGGAGAGATGGAGATGGGGGCAAGGAGAGAGAGACTCAGTTCATTGGTTCTCTTCACAAATGTCAAATGCCTGCCTGCTGCAGCCAAGGGTGGACCAGATCAAAATCAAGAGCCAGGAACTTCTCCTGGGTCTCCCACATGGATGGCGGAGAACCAAGGACTTGGTCTGCCATCCGCTGCCTCTCAGGCACATGAGCGGGGAGCTGGAAGTGCAGAGCAACCAAGATCCAAACCCGCAGTTTGTATGGGATGCAGGTGTTCCACAATATCCGCCCCCACATCATAATTCCACACACATTTACTTACCTTATTATGGTTTGGTTTTTTACTAATTTTGATATCTGATGAAAAATTGTAAATTGGTTTAAGTTGTACGCAGCTATACCAAATACAGTTGGATTGTTTTGCAGCTGAAGTTCAGCCCTTCAGCTGTTGGAAACAACTTATTACATTCTAACGTCTTAGAAATATCTCAGTATTTAGTTGTCAGAAGTCAGGCGTATATGGTCCTAGCAAGCAACATGCTATAAAAAAGGCATCTACCTCTAAAACACTCCAGCAGCAGAGAGGCCTGTCTCTGGAGCTGTTCAAGCTGATTTTCTAGTTGAGTAGATCTCTGGCATGCGTGATCTAGCAGAGTGGGAGTTTGGACTAAACAGTGTTTGAACCTTCTCCTTAAGGATTCCTTTCAAGGTACTAAAAAAGGATCTTGACAATTTATGGCACATTTAATGAGGTGTCTACTTTGTCCATTTGCTCTTAACTGCCACAGCCCTACCTGCCTCTTCTCTTTTAAGCTCCTCTATTCTTTCTAGAACGTGGTTCTTTTAAAGATTTACTTGAAAGGCAGAGTGACTGGGAGAGACATGGAAGAGTAAGCTTCCATCTGATGATTCACTCTGAATGGTCACAATGACTGGAGCGAGGCCAGGCTGAGATTAGGAGCCCAGAATTCCATCTGGGTTTCCCGTGTAGATGGCAGGGGCCCAACTGCTTGAACTATCATCTGCTGCTTTCCCATGTGCATTAGTGGGGAGCTGATCAAAAGTGAAATGGCTGGCGCTCGAACTGGCTCTCAGATAGGATGCTGGTGTTGCAAGGTGGCAGCTTAATTGTTTTATACCACAACTCTGGTCCTTATATTAAAGAGATTTAGTGAAATGAAACTTTTAGAACTGAAAGCATCAAAAAAGGCATCTATTACCAAGACAATACATTTAAAAAATTTTATTTTTAATTGATTTATTTATTAGTTTGAAACGCAGAGATACACAGAGAAAGATACTTCCCCTCAGGTCACTCTCCAGATGTCCAGATGTCCACAACAGCCAGGGTGGAACCAGGCCAAAGTCAGGAGACTGGAACTCTATTTGGGTCTCCCATGTGGATGCAGGGATCCTAAGCTTTTGGACCATCTTCCACTGCTTCCCTAGGTGTATTGGTAGGGAGCTGGATTGGAAGTGGAGCAGCAGGGACTCAGACAACGATATGGAATACTGACATTGCAGGTGCCTAGCATCCCAACCCCCATGTAGATAAATGATGGGAGGTAAGAGTGATCACCTGAGAAATCTTAGAATTTTCTAGCAGGAATGGGCCTATCAAACCATCAGATCTAATCTCTTCATTCCATATGAAGTGGACTCCCAGAGAGTGACAGTGAACTGAGGCCCTTGGGCTCTCATGGTGACATAGGCAGTTTCCTTATAGATTCACTCACTGTCGACCAAAAATTATTATAAATGATGACATTTATGTTTGATATGGCAGTACAGTTTGAGGATAGGAAGGATTCTGTGAAAGTTTTTGGAGTGCTTTTAATAGTTTGTGCGTGTGTGTTTGTTTAAAAGATGTAGTTTTGACTTTGTTAAAGCATTATGGCTGGATTTTCCTGTGTCTTCCGGGACAGGCCATTATCATTTACATCGCTTAGTGGTTTGTTATTCGGGCAGGCACAATAAAGCACTTAGAGAGTTCTGCAGCTGGAATACCTAACAAGAGAAGGTGCCCATTTTACTCATGGCATGTTGGGCTCCAGTGATGATACTGAAAGATAATCAGTAAGCACTGTGGACAGGGTCGGGCAGGGTGCTGAGGTTAGGGGAGAGTTTATGAAAGAATCAGGGACAAAGTTACACACAGGCCAAGCAGGGCATAAACAGCATTTTCAGGAACTTCATGCAAATGTAGTTTAAATCCATATGAAATTTGAATTTGTGCAGTTAAGTATTGAATGAGTGGAATCTCGTGGTATCTTGCCAGTGATTTGGGGTTGGCTATAATTTTGGCAACGTCAGTCACCCCACCTTTCAGGTTGTCCCACAGTCAACAGGTGCTGAAGACATGCAAGGAAGAGGAGTAAGAGTGTGTGCCTTTGTTTCATAAGGCAGGGCTGGGACACCAGGTCAGGGAGGTGGTGCCTGTTCTGTCACCGTTACCTGTACTTTGTCATCCTTGGCCCAATTATGAGACATCTGGAGCATACAGATTATAAATACCTTGCCTGTCTAGCTAAGTTGCTCCTGAGTCTGTCTTGTTCACTTCTGTTTCCAGCTCCTCTCTGTGTCTCCTACATGGCAAGGGGCTTAATTCATATTTGTTGGATAAACGAAGGAAGGAAACTTTACTTCCTGGATTTACAGATCAATAGTTGGGAGTGTAGAGATAAATTGCATGGGACCTTGGGTGGAATTCTTTTAATTGTGCAATTTGAGTCAACTTGGAATTGTTGTGCAGATGAAAAAAGTTGATTTGGGTGAAGCTCTCAGGATATAGCTGGCAGTAATAAATGCTCAACAACTATTAGTTCTTAATATTATTTAATTATCTTTTTTTTTTTTTTTTAGCTAGTGGAAGAAGTTTTTTTTACGACTTTTTAAATTTGAAAGTCAAGGTAACAGTGATCTTCACTAGTTCACTCTAAAGAGCTATAGCAGCCAGCACTGGCCTAGGTTAATGTCAGGAGCCTGGAACTTCATCCAGGTCACACCCATGGGTGGTAGGAGCCCAAGTATTTGGACCATCTTCTGCTTTTTTAGCTGGGACTCCAAGAGACACTCTGATACGGGATGCTGGCATCACAGAGCGGCTTAGCTCTCTGTGCCAGAACACAGGCCCCTGAAAGAGATTTTAAACTAACTTTCCCTTTCTGTGCAGCTTTTGGATTGCTTTGGGATTCCCGTGTTGATGGCTCTCTCGTGGTTTGTTCTGTATGCAAGATACAGAGTGATTCACTTCATTGCCGTGGCTGTCTGTCTTTTGGGCGTAGGAACCATGGTTGGTGCAGACATACTAGCAGGGAGGGAAGACAATTCAGGTAAGACTGTATTGGGGTTTAGTCACAGAAATGTTTTGTTCATGTTTCATTTTTATTTTGCAAAGAAAAGAATAAAAAGTAGAAAACAGATTCCAGTTGATTAAAACGTTGTTTTCATTATTTCTGGTTTTCAGTAACCACATCCATGAAGCAATTGTTATTTTCCCCCCAGCCCACAGTGCTGGCCTCATCTTTTCCATCCTGCTAAACAGTTCTGTTTTGTCTCATGAGAAAAGTTTTGTTACATAGTTGGAACAATCTCTTGAGCTCATAACCTTGGAGTTAGTGAAAAGTCTATTGCAGACACTTTGTTTCTTGTTTTTATCAGAAAAAAAAATTGTTTGGTGGCTGACACTGCAAAATATTTGTGATTTTCTTTAAACAGAAGTGTTGGGGCAGGGAAAGGAGACTTGATATTCACTGGAGTGTTTCTGATGAATTTACTCTGTGGGTGCCCCTGCACTTTGTGTCAAATGCACAGAGCACTGATGGCATAATGGTTCATTAAGATCAGTGAATTTATCCCATCCACAGGTGGTGCAATGTCTCCTTAGTTTGACAGAAGTAGCTTGCTCACCAAGCTTCCTTCCCTATGGTTCTCAATGAACTCCCTTCAGTAAACCCCGGAAGTTTATCATTGTCATTGAGCCACTTTCTGAGGCTGCAGGTAAATACTGTGTACCATACCTTCCAGCTGTCAGTGTCCTGAGGAGCCAGATTAAGAAAAATCAGAGGAAGACATTCTGAGTTTCTAGAAACCAGGATTAAGTTTGATCTTATTTAAATGAGAGCCAGGTCATCTCCTGGAGGTTCACCCATTGATGTTGTCTTCCTGTTGTGGCTTGTCTTCCTGCAGGGAGTGATGTGCTAATTGGTGACATCCTTGTCCTTGTCGGGGCTTCCCTGTACGCCGTTTCTAATGTGTGTGAAGAGTACATCGTGAAGAAGCTAAGCAGACAGGAGTTTTTAGGAATGGTGGGCTTGTTCGGAACAATTATTAGCGGCATACAGCTGTAAGATTCCAACTTTTTTTCCTTAAAACTAAAAGAAGAAAATGTACCATAGATGATGACTTTGGAACTGCTAATAGTCATTGCTGATTTAGCCAAAATTCATGTTTTGAAATCAATAGCTTGGTAAATTTCTACCAGCGTCTTGGTAAAATAGTGCCTGGCGTGTGATACTCAGCATTACCGATGTCATGAACAGTGTGGACTTAATGGTTTTAACTCATTTCCAGTAAACATTAGTACATTAACTTCCTTTTAAATGTATTCAAAAGCAAAACATGATATCGTGGCCTCTTGTGATAGCTGACTATTGTTGAACAACACTTGGAAAGAAAATATCTTTAAGGACTTTTGTTTTTATTCTTTGTCTTTTTCTTAAAGATAGTCTTTTTTTGTATTTGAAGAAAAAATTAAAAGTTAATATAACTTCTTAAGATCTGTGTACCTATTCATCTGTCTTTTATCCATGGCCTTATTCTCCAAATGCCTATTATAGGAAGGACTGGGCCAAACAGAAACCAGGAATCTGGAATTCATTGTGAGTCTCCTACATGGACAGCAGGGACCCTGCTGCTTGAGCTGTCCCTGTTATCTCTTAGGATGCACATTGCCAGGAATCAAGAGTGCAGCATGTGGGACTTTAACCCAAGCACTCCAGTGTAACCTTTGTGTGTCCAAAATAAACACAATTCATGACTTTAGCCAAAGTATGGTAACTGACATTTTCCTAAAATGATAAAAATCAGCATGTATCTCAACAACTTCTTGTTCTCATCTTAGGTTGATTGTGGAATATAGGGATATTGCCAGCATTCGCTGGGACTGGAAAATCGGTATGTAAATAAGTGATACGTTCTTTTCTTTTAGTTTTGATTTATCTTAGTTGATTTTAGTCTTATTTTGTTCTGGTTCATATTTTATCCTAATTGACAAAATGCATGTGAAGAAATAATTACTTCCTCTCAGTATTACATGTTCTTGTGAAATCATACTAGGTGTAGTGCTTTATGTTGCGTTTCCTCTGAAAATTGGTAGATGAACCTCCATGAAATTAATGTTTAATTTTTACCTGTAGGAATAGCTTTACTTGACTAGGAGTTCTCAACTAGAGTAAGTTTGACTCTCACGTGAGCTTCCAGTTAGATCTGTATCTTAGGCCCTTAGACCTCTTGGGAAGATTGTTATCTGCTTAATATAATTGTGAACACTAATCAGAATCATCTAATGGTGTCTGATCACAAACCACTTCCATTTCTCCTGTGATCTGATATTCCCAGGTATCTGCACAAATAAGGCAGAATAAACTGGCAGGCCAGTTAGGAAAGATGTTAGCCTTGTTTAATGATGCGTTTGAAGGAAGTTAAATAGTATGTAATGTCATAGAAACTTGTGTTCCGGGTATGGGTAATTTAATTCGGTTAAATAGCTTAGACTGCTAGAAATGTGTGTATGAGTGTGTTGCATATGAAATGAGATTAAGGAATCCTTTACAATACAGGCACTCTGATGAAAGAGCATCACGTGACTCTCAGTGACCTAGAGATGAGAGTCACCTTGTAATATCTGGGAGCAATTGAATCTAATGAGATAAAAAAAAATACAGTTGATCTAATGACCATCATGGGTGCCCTAAAAATGCTTTTTCTGAATCCAGTTACACAAACAATGCAAATAAAAGCAAACAAAAGACTGTGAATGATTTTCCTTGACACATGGTGCTGCTTCTACTTTGACTGCACTTTTGTCTCAGGCATCACTCCGCCTTGAGATGCAGTCACATGATAAGCAAGATTTTATTGTCTCAGTCATTTGGCACTTGGTTGGATCTTTGAGGTCCTTCACTTATATCACAACTTGTTGTTATTGTTCACCAGAGAGTTAGTAGTTTCATGGGGTTTTTGTTCTTGTTTTTAAGATTTGTTCATTTTTATCAGAAAGATTATTATAGAGAGACAGAGAGAAAGATCTTCCAACCTCTGGTTCACTGCTAAATGGCCGCGAAGGTCAGAACTGAATTGATCTGAAGCCCGAATCAATCTGAAGCCAGGAACTCCTCCGGGTCTCCATGTGGGTGCAGGGTCCCGAGTACTAAGATTATCCTTGACTGCTTTCCCAGGCCACGAGCAGGGAGCTGGATAGGAAGTGGAGCAGGCAGGGCACAATCCCTGTGCATGCAAGGGGGAGGATTATGCAATTGCGCCATCACACCAGGCCTGAGCATTGGTAATTTTCTTTACAATGCTGACTGTTAGTAGGAGTTTTTTGATGCACATAGTATGTTAATGAACCAGGGAGTTTTGGATGGCAACCAAGCTTTTCTACCATTTGTCTCTCCATTTCTTCTCTTATGTTAGATATCTTCCTTTTTTCACAGCTCTGCTGTTTGTGGCATTTGCCCTCTGTATGTTTTGCCTGTACAGCTTCATGCCAGTGGTGATCAAAGTCACTAGTGCTACCTCCGTCAACCTGGGCATCTTGACAGCTGATCTCTACAGCCTTTTCTTTGGCCTCTTTCTCTTTGGCTATAAGGTAAGAAAATAAGAATACTTGCTTTGTTCCAAAGAAGTAAAGGGGATCTGTAAGATTCTTTGTCCAAAAAGAAAATCTTCTCATCCTCTTGGCAAGAATCTCAATGGTGGGCCTCACTCCTTTCTTAATTGCTTTTGCATTAGAAAGTATGTTCAGAAAAAGAATGGTCATTCTGGGGTTTTTCTGAAAAGTGAAATGAAGTTGGGTTTATCTTTGATGGAATGACCTAAGATACCAGCCTAGGAGAATGTCAGCGTGTGTTACCAGGTGATGTGCAAGCACCACCATAGGTGTTTTGGCCCTCAAGAGACTGTCTAGCTTGGATTGTCTTTGCCCTGGACATAGATAAAATGTTTGGAGTGGCTGATGGAAAATGAGAGATGCATGATCGGAACAGTTTCAGGGTGAATACCTACTAGTATTATTATGATAATAGTTTTGACCTTACAGCTTCCTCTCAAAGATTTTAGAACTCTTTGAGGGCCAATGCAGTAGAAATCCATCTGTTCTCTACTGCGAAGTCTTGTTGACTTGCTTGCTATTGTTTGAGTGAATAGTTTCAATGTTTGCTGTTACTTGATACTTTTTCATTTCAGTGGGGGATATCAATCACATTTCTCTGCTCCGATACAATTTTGTATCCAGACAGACAACTTTGTCCTTGATTTCACACTGTTCATGGGAATTTGCTAGGAACTCACACTCAGTGGGTTCAGTGCAGGTCTCAGAAATTTCTGCAAATGCAGCATTGATCTTATCATCTTGCAAAGCTACATGTGATAAGAACTAGCTGTTATTTTGCAGACTCGCTGGTTAAGATTATTTCTGAGCTGAGAATGTAAGAATATGTGAAGACTTATTGGTAGCATCACAAAAGAGTAGGAACTGGCAGAGGGAATCACTGACGTGGTCTTGGGGGACCTGATCATTTTTTTTTTCTTGAGAGCACAGTTGTCCAGGAACACCTCAGTGCTGTGGCTGCATTTCATATGACTGCGCCTAGGGCATGATGCCATTTGTCTACTGCTGTTCCAGCAGCTCAAAGAAGGTCTGAGAATTCAGCCGCATTAACACACAACACCCTCACACATGCTGTTTTCCCTTAACCAAACATATTGATTTAGCTTTAGTAGTTTGCTTTTCCATCGTCAATAGGACAATGTCCACAAAGGGAGCTAAGATTAAAGAAATAAAAACGTGTAAAATAATAGTAACACTTGTTACTACCTGTTATGGACTTCCTTTATCTAAATATTTGCTCTTCAGCTGCTTTTACTTGTGATATAAAAGAGCCCTTTTATGACTCAATGTTTGGACACCTCTGCTGGTATCAGAATCACAGCATGTGCTCTATAACTTCCTCTGCAGTCCTTGTGTTTTATGTTCCTTTGTCCCTGCTTGTCTAGCAGTTTACTCAGATCTGTTTTTACTGGTTTTGGTCAAAGGTCATATCAAGCCGTATAGATTAAAATGCCGGTCAGGTCTGTGATCTTTGGCTTGAATTCCAGTGGTGAAATAAAATTCAGGTCATAATAGAAAATGCCAAGCCTTTTAAATGTAGTTTTGAAATACAGAACAGTAAACCCAATAAACCATCGATTTAAAAATTTACAATATCTAAAGTAACTTTGGGTCTGCGATTTTTGAAGTAATTAGTTAAAAGAGAGGCTTACAACAAAAAGAATAAAACAGATGTATGTATCTATTTGAAAGGTGACAGAGATCTCTCATCCCATGGTTCACTCCCCAGTGGTCCCACAGGCTGGAGCTGAGCCACATAGAAGCCAGGAGGCCAGAACTCTATATACGTCTTCCACATAGGTGACTGGAGCCCAAACCTTTGGCCATATTCTGCAGCTCTTACTTGGTGCCTTAGCAGGGAGCTGGATTGGAAGTGGAGCAACCTGGACTTGAACTATTGCTCACATGGGATGCTGGCACTGCTGGTAGCAGCTTGACATGTTGTACAAGGACACCTGCCCAATAATTTCTTCTGTTTCATATTAGTAGTGTGAGCAGTGCCTCCTGCCTGCAATGGGCTGCCTCATGGAGTCTGTGCAGACCTTGTATCTTCTCCACTAAATGCAGGATGGGGTAGAACTGGAGTATCCGTAGCAAAGGAGAGGATTCATTTCTCCCAGGATCTGGTTGACAGAGCCCATGTACACAGGAGGCATTTCAAAGGGCGTTAGTGTCTCAGGCTGCTTGACACCAAGGGTGGTGAGGTGGTACTCAAGGCACAGCTGGCAAAAGGCAGCAGCGCAGATGGCCGCGTGAGGAAACACACCCAGCGCCGGCTCTTCTCTTCTAGTTTTCAGGACTCTACATCCTGTCCTTCAGCGTCATCATGGTGGGCTTTATCCTGTACTGTTCCACACCGACACGAACGGCAGAGCCAGCCGAGAGCAGTGTACCCCCGGTCACCGTCATTGGAATCGACAACCTGGGGCTGAAGCTCGAGGAGAACCTTCCAGAGACGCACGCTGAGGTCCAGTAGCCAGCCAGGGATGGTGCACACCTGTGCACCACAGAAGAAAGCAGCGTCCACTGGCTGCTGAGGCGACATTCCGGGAAATGAGGAGGCTCCGAATGAACACACCATTGGACTAGATCCAGTGGGTAGACTTTGTAAAGGAAAACTGAAGAATGTCTCAAAAATAGAAATATCAGAACCCAGCAGAATCCAAGGCTAGATTGTGTTTCTGTGTATTTAAGGACCAAAACCTGTGTCAGAGAGGTGAGGTGTGGGTCCCACACTGAGGTCTTCAAGGTCCATGTGGGAAACAGGATGGGGGAGGTACCCAGGAGGGAGCCAGCTGGGGGACAGGCTGCTGATGGTTGGGAGTAGGGGCAGTGCAGGGTGGCCTGCACATAGGTTTTTTGCTCTGCTGAGCAGTTACTGTCCCCTGGGCTTGTGGCCTTTGGGTACAGAAGAGGCCTGCTGACTGATTGCATGTCTTGGGGAAGTGGACAAGTCCTGGACAAGTCCTGAGACATGAATGTGACTACTTAGATGTGATACATGGCAGCACAGTAAACCTTGGAGTCATCTCCCTTTTTTTCGTTTTTTTCCCTAAGTGTTCTCTGTCACTCCTGGCTCAAGTCTCTTTTAGAGCCATGTTCACTCCTTCACTCCAGGTCCCCAAGCAAACTTCCTGCCCTCACAATCCATGAGACTGGATGTCTCATCCGTGTTTTCAAGCCCCCATCTTGCTCTCCAAGATTTCTCAGATCTGAGTTCAATCCATGCACACCATCATTTCAAAAACACTCCCATAGCCTCCTGGGATATTCCTATCGGCCCCATTATTAAACATCAAGCAAGGCTACCAAGTTTTAACTGCAAATGATCACAAGTAGGAAGTTTTGTTTGTATATCTGATAAAAAAAATGAGTATAATCAAAATGGAAACAAGATGAATAATTTCTCAGAAAAGTATATCCAGGAACCTTGAGAATCCCCTAGTTGTTGAAATGGCGTGCTGCTCCCCATCTTTCCAATGTTGGCAACACTCCTAGACTTCTGTGACGTTTCTTCAATACAAACTGCTATTATGAAGATTCAGTGTAATATTGAAAACAAAATATGTATGTTTTTGTACAAATATAAAAGAAATCATGATTAAGTATTCATTGATTAAAAGACTGAAGCGATGGAAATATATCCACTGTGTGGTTTCTTTGATGAACCAGTTCTCCTTGTGGATAGTAAATGTATCTGTGATTTCGTCAAATCCAGCTTCTCAGAATCATACCATCAGTGAGACAAACTTAGCGATGGAGGCTAGTCTGGGATTTAAGGGAGGATTTCACAGGTCACGCACACTCACACAAAATGTCTAATTCTGAACTACCACATTGGGTTTTCTCTTTCTGCAGGGAAATAACTCATTCTCTACCATTAATGAAAACTGCTTTTTCAATTCATGTTTGGTTTGATTCCCTCCCATGAACACAGAAGGTTCTATCTGAATGACCATGTTGGGAAGATTTTTCCCTTTAGTTTGCACACTGGCTGTTCCTGAAAGTCTCTTGCCTGTGAAGGCTGTTTCCCTGGAGGGTGGGTGGGGAAGTGGAGCGTCTCAGGGGACTAAATACCTTAGGACCATCAAGCTGAGTTGAGTTGTCTGTTCTTCCTGTACCTTTGTGAAGCCGACCTGGCTGGTTCCTGCTCTGCTCCAGAATCCTGAGCCCTTGCTCCTGTCTTCCTGTTAGCATAGGGCTGCTTGCTTGCTGTTTGCTCATCACAGATGGAGCCTGGGGTCAACAGTAGCCTTTTTGCATGTCTCTAGGCCTTTGGTCACCTCATCTGTGGTATTCACGAAATAAGCATTGCCTTTGGTCCTAATTCAGAACATCAAAGGGCAGATCGCCCTGAAGACTTTCCTGGAGGTGGGTGGAGTTAGCTAGTATACTACCCTGCTCTCTTTCCTTTCCACTCATTTCCTTTAGTTCTAGTTTTCTCCCTCACTGTTCTTAGACTGGAGAGGGGCAGAAGATTTCAAATGGGCCTTCCAAGTTAAAACCCAGAATTCAGTGTCCCTTGAGCCATAGCTGTTAGATAATATTATTGTGAGGTTGCTCACTCTGGGGGATGGGAGGGAGATACCTTCCATCTACTGGTTCACTCCTCAAATGCCAACAGCAGCCAGGCCTGGGTCAGGATAAAGCCAGTAGCCTTGGACTCCATGCAGGTTTTCCATGTGTGTCAGGGACCTAAATACTTGGGCCACTATGAGTGGCCTCCCAGGGCAATAGCAAGAAGCTGAATTGGAAACAGACGTGGAACTCTGATGTGAAATGCCGGTGTCCCAAGTGGCAGCTCTGCATCCTGTGCTACAGTGCCTGCCCAAGACTAACAGTTTTAACTGAGCCTGCATGATGACAGATTCTATGGATAGGGAAGGAGGGCGGGGAGAGAGAGAGAGAGAACGCTTTTGTCTACTGGTTCATTCCCAAGTAGGGTGGGTTCAAACTAGGAGCCTGAAACTACATTCCAGTCTCCCACATGGTGGCAGGGGCCCAAGTTCTTGGGCCGCCACCATTTGCTGCCTTCCAGGACACATTAGCAAGGAAGCTGGTTCAGAAGCACGGGTTCCAGGGTCTGAACTGGCACTGACTGAGAATGTGGGCACTCCAAGTGGCAGCTTATGCTTCTGCACCACCACGATTGACCCTTAATGATAAATACTTTGATTGACCCATTATCTCAAAAATATTACTATTTCAGCATGTGTTAATAGTCATATTTCATGTATACGGTATCAATGCTGGGCATGACAGGTTTAATTTCTTTAAATGACACAATCCAAGAACAGTTGATATAATACAAGGGTACCTCAAAAAACTCATGAAAAACTGAGTTAAAAATGAGTGTGTTTTGGTGCAAAAAGTTGAAATCCAGCTTTTTCACAATACATAATTTTCATGAACTTTTAAAATATTTTATCAATTTTCATGAAGAACCTTAAGTTTTCATAACATTTACAATCACAAATGTGTTTGGACATGAATCTAATAGTTCCCTAAAAATAACTTTCCAATGACTATTTTATTATAAAATCCATGGATTGTGTGTCAGTTACATCTATTTAAATACATGCTGATAACATCGGCTAAAAGGAACACGACTTTTGAAATGTAACTCAGGCAACTTCCTCTAAATCTTTTTTACTATTGTAATTACTGATTTTTTCATTTTAGGAGGGTTGGTATGCATGCTATTTAAAAAGTGCTGCTGAATAGTATAATAGAGTTGCTAGATTGTCCCCTAGTGTTGTATAAATGGAATAAATTAGGCAGCAGGACTGTGGTAACACAGAGGGGAGGGCTTTGCTGGTGTCATTTTCCCCATCTCTGTCTTGAAATTGGGTTCTGTCTTCCGGGGACACAGCTTCTCACCTTTCTGACCTGGGCTCTCACCCACTTGGTGGGTATTTATCAACAGAGTTCTAGCAGGTGGCGCTTTAGCAACCATAACATCCCCAAAGACTGGTGACATACACAAGAATTTTTGGTCACTTTGTAGTTCCTCCACAGTGTCTTGTTAAATAAAGTTTTGTTGACTTTTTTTTTTTTTTTTTTTGAGAATGTTCTTCAAATGGCCATAGTAGCTGTTCCAGGTTGGGCTGAGGCCAGGAACTGGGAACTCAATCCAGGTCTTCCACGTGAGTGGCAGGACTTGAGTTATTTGTGCTATCACTTGCTGCTTTCCTTCCCAGGGTCTCCCGTGGCAGAAAGCTGGAATCCAGAGCTGAGCTGGGAATCCCAGGCACGCTGGTGTGGGACATAGACCTCTGAACCAGTGTCCCAAGCAGTACGTCATATCTGCTTCTTGTCTTGCTTTTTAAAAGTATATTACAGGGTAATACCTGGGGTTACAGTTGAGGAATTTGAGTCCACATAAACAGAAACATCCATCGCAGAGACATCCTCACACAGAGTTGGTGACTAGAGTGAAAACACAATCCGTAGCTCTGGCCTTTCAGATTAGCTGATCATCAGGGTTCCCACTTGAAGAGTGCTGAGGGGATCACCAGTCCTTGGAACTGCTGAGCTAGGATTTGCAAATACACTGCTAGAGAGAGCTGTTGGGCAGTGTATTCGGGAAGAAAAGCTAGTATGGGGTCTGGTTTTTCCCTGCAGCTCTGAAGGCTGTCTTTCTGTGAAGTGGTCTCCATTTGTATGCCTAGTCACGCTTCTCTTTTCTATCATAATTACTGTGCTTTGCCATTCCATCCACATTTAATCACTTAGGATCTGGACATATCCTGAGCCCTTAAAAGACGTCAATAAATCAGGGAAATTCAGGCAGATAGCCACTTAGCTGATTAAAAGGCAAGAGATTTATAAGGGGAATTAGGTAATGCTGAACATGCAGTTCTCCAGTAGCGGTACAAAGGGTGTCTGGAGAAGTCTGGCAATATAGCAATGGTCAATTGGGGGAGCAAGCCCTGCAGAACAGCAAAATGGTGCCTGCCCTTCCATGCATGAATCTGTAAACCTGTAGGAGTTCATGTTGCAAGATTTCTTCTCCCAGGGTTCAAACGCTTTACCATGTACTTTGTTCCTTGGTTTAAATGTTATCTTCTAGCAATCGTAGCTTTAAAAATATCAGCACTTTAGAGAAGGCAATTTAGGTTGAAAGGGCAGGAGAATTGATCTCAATAAAATATATACAAGCCATCTGAACAACTGTTGGCTCGAAGTAACCACAAACAGGCATTGAGATGGCTCTGTAGAGTCGTCACTTGGTTTTTGTCACTGACTGACTCTCTGCGGGGAGGCATGTCCGTACACGAGGTATGACCCAGACATATTTCCATGCTCCTAGCTGGACTTCCCATGCCATCTCACTCTCCCTGACCTTGGACGTTACGATCTGCCTGGTGACTGTCCTTTCCGATTCCTCACTTGCTTTGGTCTTAGGAAGTCATGTGAGAAGTTACCTTGGTCATCATGAAAAGCCTACTAGTTCATGCCACATACTTTTAGGTGGGAGAAACACACGTCCGCACCCAAACTCCATCATCCTAACTCCTGGAGGCACACTTCCTTGAGGAATTGCTACTCCCAGAAAACTGATGGCAGCAGCTTCAGAGAATCTGTCTTCAGGCCCTACACATCTCTTAAGCATTCCTGTAGGCCTTCATGGACTGAATGCATATGATACCTGCACTTGAACTCAATTGGTATACAGTACTTTCTTCATCCCTGTTGTCAGTTTGAAGGATTGAAGGAAAGAATCAAGGCTTGGTCCTTCATCCAAATAAAGTGAGGTTTGCTAGAGCAGCCAGATTTGGTTCAGCTGTGAGTGAAGCTTGGCTGGTGAACACATTATGTCATCTTAGTAACTCTTCAGTTATCGCATAGGAACATGGTCAAACTCATGGCTCATCTAACATAAGCAGAGCAGAACAGGAGGACTGTAGGTTAGATCAGGAAAAAGGTGGAAGTCTGTATATAGGGATTGGGGTTCTCTACCTGCCAGTCTCCTAGAAAGCAAAGTAGCTAGGGTTTGAGGAGACACTTGGTCTTACAGCCTTCTGTGTTAGGGTTCCTCAGAGAAACAGAAGCAATGGGCTATTGACAAAGGTATGTATAAAGACATTTATTGTTGAGGGATTGGTTTACGTAATTATGGAACCTGGTTAAGTCCTGCAATAACCCATCTGCAACCTAGAGGCCAAAGGAAGTTGGTAGTATAGTTTCAGTCTAAACCTGCAAACTTGGAGAACCACCAGAGCCAATGGTGTAAGTGCTCATCTGAGACTGAAGACCTGAGGACATTGATGCCGTATTTGGGGATAAGATCACTGGGTCAGTTCAAGAAGGCAGGGCAAAGGCATCTTTCCTGCACCCTCCCAATGGATTAGGTGCTGCCCACTCACACTAGAGAAGGCGGGTCTTCTTTATCGTATAAGGATTCAGATGCTAGCATTTCTGGAAACATTCACAGATAGACCCTGGCTAATGTTTTACCAACTTTCTGAACAACCCTTGGCCTAGTTAAATTGACACAAGAAAATGAACCATTATACCTTCTAGCTATTTTGAGTTTGTTTCAATCTCTATATAGTCCTATCATTCTTCACATCCCACATGGTTCTCCCAGTCACTGGAATCTTTCTGAAATATCCTTGGTGGGTTCAGGAACCTTCAGCAGCTCTGTGTTTCTCTCAGAATGAGGTCCAAGCTGGACCTAACTGGCTTTCTTCCTAGCTTCCAGGTCTGGTGTCACAGAGCTTGCACAAAGCCAGTCAACAAGCCCCCTCTGTGGACTATGCTCACATGCTTCCCTGCATTCTGCCCTTGAGCCCTTACAGGCACAGCTCCTCAGGCACACCATTCCTCTTCCCCTTCCTCTTTGCTCATTTAATGCTTGCTGCAATCAAGTTTCAGCTCATCTTCACTTCCTCCTATCTTGATGAAAGTTTCTTTCCCTCTGTAGAATGCCCAGAGGACTTTGCCCCTTGTCCCACTCAAGTGATACAAATAGATCATCTCCTACTAGAATTATGCTGCATTCCTCAGAATGTGTAGGGGAGTTGAATGTAAGAGTCAAACACTACGTTTTGATGTTGTAAAGGAGAATGTTCATTCCAAGAAAGCCAAGAAATTAGAAATACTCAATGACATCTCACATTTCAGACACATACTTTGGTGATACATTTTTAGCATTTTTTGCACAGTCTTAATTTTTTTCCCCTTAACAACTTAACAGACCAGTGATCCTGATTGAGAATACAGGTGCACTATATTTCATTTGCATTTATTTTTTGAAAGTGGAAACACTTTCAAAAGTGTCCATTTTGGTTCTATTATGTGACATTTAAAAAATTGTATACAAGTAACTAGGACTTCAGTCTCTTCTTTATAAAATACCATAGGCAAAATAAGATATGATAGAGTAGTTACATAAAAGCTAAATGGGGATAATGCTGGAATTGTTGGTTGGCAGCAATATTACTCATTTCTTCATTTAACATATTTCCTGAGCAATGGAGAAGTCACTAATTCTGGAAGATTGTCCATATAGCTCTCAAAAATTGGTTTAGGTTTTAATATATAAAACAGGGTGCTACCACTGTTGTGTAGTAGACTAAGCTTTTACCTGTGGCACCCACGATTCCGTATTGGTGCTAGTTTGTGTGCCTGCTGCTCTGCTGCCCATCCAGCTTGCTCCTAATGGCCCGGGAAAGCAGTAGAGGATGGCCGAAAACCATCCTGCATCCATGTGATAGACCCTGAAGAATCTTTTGGCTTCAAATTAGCCACTTCTGGCCATTGCAGTCATTTAGGAGTGAATCAATGGATGGAAGATCTTTCTTTCTGCTTCTCCTCTCTGTTAAATCTGCCTTTCCAGTAAAAAAAAAAAAAACAACAAACAAACAACAACAAAAAAACCAACTTAAACATTTTCCTAAAGGAATAAGAAAGCTAAGGAACCAACTGTCTTTTATGTTCAACACTGCACCAAGGATAAAGCCTTAAAAGTAACAGGAACTCAGTATAGTGCATTTGTATTTGTCAGTTAACCATGTTTTGGTTGTTTTCTACCAGATTTTGGTTTCTATGTTTATTTATTTTTATTTGACAGGCAGAGTCTCTCTCTCTCCCTCTCTCTCTCTCAGGCACACACACACACACACAACTAAATTTTCATCTGCTGGGCCAGCCCACTCCGGAAGCCCCGTGCTCTATCTGAATCTACCCTTGTGACTTGCAGAGACTCAAGTACTTGCCCCATCATGTGCTGCTTTCCACAGTGCATGTTAGAAGGAAGCTAAATGGAAAGCAGAAGTGGAACTCCAAAGCCAGGCCCACTCTGATACAGGCTATAGGTGTTCCAAGTGGTAGCTTATCCCATTGTACCACAGTATGCTCATTATCATATTTCACACTCATGAATCCTCTGCTTTTGACTTGAGTGTTAAGTTTGCAGGTGACTGAGAGAGAGACTTTTAGTTCAGACAGAGCTTATTAGTCAGGGGAGAAGATGGCCCAGAATCACTTCTACATGATGGGGTGACTGCGTGAAGGAAATGACCTCCAGGGTATACAGCATTGGCCTTCATACATCTTAGGCTGGGGGAATGGCAGAAGGGGTTACTCGTAGCTGTGGGCTGAGACAAAGGTCTAGGGGGTGGTTCCTGCAGAGCATTCCAGACATTCCTGAGGAGATCTGGGCAGGATGATCTAACCTGGACTCACTCTTCCTCTGCCTCAGGCCAGCATCCTGCTCTGCCCAGCCTAACATTGAGTAATATATGATAAGAAGAGTGGGAGCAAGGCAGGGAGCGTGGGAAGTATCATTATGTGCTGGGGTCCCTGTAGTGGGTGTGGATGACACGAAGGTGTGAAGAGAACAGCTCCTTGCTTGGCAGGGCCTAGGGAGCTTCCAGCTGTTTGGCAAGGCCCAGCGGATCTCTCTCTGACCACCTGGACGCAGTCTCACCCCCTGTTTGCATGGACACTCAAGTACCCCACTACGAATTCTGTAATCTACTGAGGCATTGTTTGCCCCTGTGAGATGGCTTTGGCAACTACTGTGAGCTTAAGAGTTAATGTTATTGATGTCTTGGTGAGTGGGCCTTTAACTGCGCTCAGGAGTACAATTGAAAATACAATTAAACCCATGCCATTTCTGGACCCCTTATTGTGTGCCTACCCATTGCCCTGAAATCAGGCCCAGACATATAGCATGCCTTCTGGAAAACAGCTTAATAAGAGTTTTACAAACTAATGGAAGTGATGGGAGTATGATCTGAAACTGCTATGGCAAAAATATAGTTACTGTGACCTTAAAGGTTACCCTGTCCTTGCAACTCTTTAGAGCATAGAAAATGTAGCTGCTTTAGCCGCTTTCATAATCTTTTAACTAAAGGAAATATAGGATGATTCTATTAACATCACAGAGATATACTTTTGATTATTGTTTGATTGCTTATGAGGTTGTAGAGCCTGCAGTCGTAGGGGGATTTAATGTTTGAAACTTTTTGTCTTAGATCCTTATGTTTTTTCCTCTTTTGATGTACTTCTCCCATTAAGTGATAGATAAAGTTGTGAAAATAAAATGTAGTAGGAATGTTTTACTAATTAGTAGGTAACCATCTGTGCCTTGGCCTTGGAGTTCTGGCTGTCACCTAGTGACCACTTCTGAAGAATGAATAATGGCTTACTTTAAAGAAACTGATTATAGTAACTTACAGAATTATCTTTAAGAGCACCTGGTTGACCATGAAGTAAAAATTAATTGAACATCTGTGCATACTGTTTTAGTTCTAAAGTAAAAGATAAAAAATCAAATGCTTGTGCAGAGGCTTGTGATGTGTCTAAGTAAATAAAAAGAACAGCTTCTTCTTGAAAAAAGAAGGCAGCAAAGAGGCAGCAAGAAGACACCAAGTGACAGTGTCCGTGTCTTTCTTTATCGCCGACTCCACGACTCCACGCACCCTTCTCGAGCTCTGAACTCAGCTGGAGCTGGACTCCGGCAATTATGTCCTTAAAACTCTATGTATAAAGTACATGAAATCTGTTTCCCTTTCATGTAAGTGACTAATTAAAAATTTTTTTTAAAAAAGTAAGTGATGATTTGATATGTAGGACATTACCTGATGATGGACCCATTAAATATACATTATTTCCCAGAAAGTATCATTCTAGGCATCAACTAAAATGGACCAGAACAAATAACTTCCGAAGAAGCGTGATGAGGAATTGCTGCTCCAGTTTGGAAAGCCTAGATTGGTAGGTTACATTTCCTGTGATCAGAGTGGATGTTATTAAGAAATGACAAGGAAAATAAACAGAAGGGAAAAACACAGAAAATCATGCTCACCCTCATGCTAACACAAACATTGAGGCCAATAGCTGTGTGGTAGCCACGTCTTTCCGCAGGAGCTACTTCAAGACATCTAGTGGATGTCTGAAAGTAATGGATAGTAAATAACCCTCTGTAAATACACATTTTTTTCTTTATAATACTACAATACTAATTAGACATAGCAATCCATTAACAATAATTGATAGTCACAGAACAGTTTAAAAAATGTATTGGAATAAAATTATGTGACTGTGCTTCCTCTCTCAACATTGTTCTGTACTCATTTTTCTTTTGGTTATAGGAGATGATACAGTGCCTGTGTGGTAAGAAGTGAGGCAAAATGTAATGCTGTTACGTAAGGATTACTTGAACCCGGGCACTGTGATACCAAGGCAGCTGCCAGGTGATTAGTTTATGGTAACATATACAACACGTATACCCTGGACAAAAGGATAAGGTATGTCTTGGAGAGAATGAGTAGATTGGTGTGTGATTCCCTCACATTGTTCAGAGCAGCGTGCAATTTAAAGCTTTTGAGTTTTTTCCTAGAGCTTTTCATTTCATATTTTTAGGCTGTGTTGAGTACAGGTCTCTGAAGCCGCTGAAAATGAGCCCATGATAAGGAAGGACAGCTGTGTTTGGAAACCCGAATTTGCAGAGCTTAATAACAGACCTATGACCTCTACTTGTGACTGAACTTCCAGGTGAGAAACTGGTTGTATTAATACAAAGCTGGATGATGTGGGATTCTCCCTTGCCACTTTCTTTCCTCCATATAGCTCTCAATTTTAAAAGATTTATTTTCTTTTTATTCGAAAAGCAGAATTACACGGAGAGAGAGAATCTTCCATCCAGTTTCAACCCCCAAATAGCCACAACAGCCAGAGCTGGACCAATCCAAAGCCAGGAGCCAGGAGTTTACTCTGCATCTCCCACATGGCCATAGGAGGCACAACCACTTGGGCCCTCTTCTGTTACTTTCCCAGGCACATTAGCAGGGCACTGGATTGGGAGTGAAGGAGCTGGGACTCAAACAAGCATCGACATGGGATGCTAGCATTGAGCGAAGAGGGTTATTTAGCTTGCTATGCCATGTCACCAGCCACTCTCTTTTTCCCTTTCTAACAAATAAACTTAATTAACTAATAAAATGTTTCATATTACTTAAACTTCCCACATCTTAAGGATATTATATTTGTGCTTCTAATTTTTTTTAAGATTTATTTATTTTTATTGGAAAGGCAGATATACAGAGAGATGAGACAGAGAGGAAGATCTTCCGTCTGAAGATTCACTCCCCAAGTGACTGCAACGGTCAGTGCTGCGCCGATCCAAAGCCAGGAGCCAGGAATCTCCTCCGGGTCTCCTACCCTGGTGCAGGGTCTCAAGGCTTTGGGTCCTTGACTGCTTTCCCAGGCCGCAAGCAGGGAGCTGGCTGGGAAGTGGAGCAGCCGGGATTAGAACTGACGCCCATATGGGATCTTGGCACATTCAAGGCGAGAACTTTAGCTGCTATGCTAACACACCGGGGCTCTGTGCCTCTGTTTTAATAAACAAGGAAGCTGAGGCTTATTTCAATCAGGATAGGCTATGTTTGCTGTTATAATGAACAGCCTCAGATCCTATTGCCTTAAACAAGCAAGATTTGCTCTTTGTTTATGTTATGGGTTCATATGGATCTGCCTTAGATTGTCCTCTTGGATCTAGGCAAGAGGAGCTTCCACAACATAGGACTAGTACAAGCACAAAAATTCCTCCCTCGCTTTTAGAGTGGTTGCCCAGAAATGATATATTCTCTTAATTTCATGGACCAAAATCAAATGGTAATGTATCAATTAAAAAGAATGTGAAGAAATGTGAATTGAGAGTCTGTATTTTTAGCTTCCATAATAAATTATCATGGGTGGTAAAATACAAATGCTTGCATTTTCTCTCATTGTTGCAGTAATAAAATCAGTAATGTGGAAAGAAAACTAAAAGGGCAACTCAATTGTAATGGATCACTTTTAACTTTTATAATACAATTTTTGTCTGGACTCATGGAGGCTTTTTTGGAACTCAAGAAAATGATGAGATTTAAGCATTGCTGTTTTGCTCCATCTTGGCAAGTAGGATCACATGCAATCAGTTGATGGTCCTCAACTAGAGAGAGCACAAGCCTGCCAGAGAATGCTTTTAGGCCTTGGGAATTTGAGAATGAATTCTGAGCTTCAATACTAGTTGTTTTCCAGACCTGCTACCTGGGAGACTATTTGATTATGCCAGCTAGAATTACTAATATGGTGATCTAGTAAGCACTGGGAGACATAGAGTTCTTCATCTAAAGCTTTTTCTAAAGCCCTGGATAAAATGGAGTTCACAATAAGATCGGCATGTGCAGGGTCGGACTGGAGATCTTTTCTGGAGGACACCACCGGCCTTGTGAGCACAGAGCAGCCCAGGGTGCTGAAGGAGGTGCTGCAAGTGCAGTCCTGGATCTGCCACTGGCTGGGTGAACCTTGTGCATCTGTTTCCTTTCCTTCAAAAAAAAAAGAATGAGGATTCATCGGGTTCTGAGCGCACCAAAGCAGTGCTCCTGTGGAACACTTAGGGTGCCCTGTTTTCGGAGGGTGCTGGTGTGCCTCATACTCTGCCTTAAGACTATTTCAAGTTACATAGTATAACCCCTGCATCTTTATCTTAAGTTACCAGGGTTTCTCTGTTGGCTGTGTAGACAGTCCTAGAACAAAGGCAGCATGAAGTAACTTACCAGTCGTCATGGATATAAACTGCCACCTAAAAGAAGGGAATCAAAGCTACACACACAGTAGAGGGAATGAGTTCTAGTGTCCTAAAGCATAGCAAAGTTGCTGTAGTGCACAAGAACACAAGTTTGTTTTATGAAGGACTAGAAGAGAGGAGTTTGAAGCTTTCCACACTTTATGTAAGGAAATGGAGGGCCTGGCTCTATAACTCATCTGGCTAATCCTCGCCTTTAAGCACAAGGATCCCATATGGGTTTGTGTACTGGCTGCTCTACTTCCCATCCAGCTTGCTGCTTGGGGCCTGAGAAAGCAGTTGAGAATGGTCCAAAGCTTTAGGACCCTGCACTTATGTGGGAGACCTGGAAGAGGTTTCTGACTCCTGGCTTCAGATCGGCGCAGCTCCAGCCATTGTGGCCATTTGGGGAGTAAATCTTCAGACGGAAGATCTTTTTCTCTCTTGTTCTTCTCTGTAGATCTGCTTTTCCAACAAAAATAAATAAATCTTTTTTCAAAAAAGCAATATAAGGAAATGGAAATAAATGATCAAAGTCCTGACATAATTATTATAAGCTGTATGTATTTTTAGAATCATCACGTTGTATCCCGTATGTATGTATAATCATGATGTGTTAATCAAAAATTTAAACATAGGGGTTTAATTGGGTGGTGAAGATGCTGGAGTCTCATGGTGGAGTACCTGGGTTTGAGTCACAGCTCTGGCTCCTGACTCCAGCTTGCTGCTAATGGAGACCCAGCAAGACAAGCATGATGGCTCAAATAATTGTTTTTTTGCCACCGATGTGGGAAAGCTGGGTTGAAGCCCTGGTTCTTGGCTTTGGTCCCAACCCAGCCTGGAACTTTTCAGGCATTTGGGAGAGTAAGCCAGTGGATTGCAGAAATTTTTCCTCTGTCTCTGTCTGCTTTCCAAATATATACATTTCAAATCATACTTTAAAAATGTGGGCACAGTTTGCATGATTTTTCATTTTATCAGTCAATTACTCTGGAACTTGTTGTCTTTTTTATTAAGAAGTTCTTTCCCTTAAGGATGCTCCCTTTCCCTCTGTATCAGTTTAGAACCCTTTAGCAAGTCAGAGTGGTTGATTGCCGCTTTTGTCCAGCTGATCTGACAGACTCTGCCATTTCGCCCCAGCAGATGGTGCTGTGGAAAAGCTGGTGCTCCAGGATCTCCTAGAGCTCTCCCAAGGCCTGACGAAGGATGCTGCTCCTTTCTGGAGTGAGCGTATGCTCATTCAGATCTAAACAAGGCTCATGTGGTTCTTTGGTAGTGAATGAATGAATGGCTCAACTCTGCAAAAATTTGGCCAGACATGTTGTAGTCCCTGGCATTTAGCATTTGGATTTATACACAGTCATTCTTAGAAGTGTCCCTTAGACCTAGACATTTAAACAGGACTGGTTTAAGTATCTACATAAGTGGAAACCACCGACTTCCTTTCTTACCCAGGGGACCATGCCCTTTGCAGTTAAGCAGTTTTCAAATTTTCAACCCTCAAAACATAACTTAAGCCCCCTCTCCCCCACACCAAGACCACCATCCTGCTCAGGGACCCTTAATACTTCAGGTGCTGTGAAGGTAATCACCTTCTCAGCAGGATGCTTTCAAGATGTGTAAATGTTTCCATGTGAAATTATGGGCAGTAACTTTTCAAGGAAGGAAGCAATGTTATTCCTTCTCAAAGGGAAGATTTTCTCAGTGAATCTAAGTTTTCTGGTAACTTCCTTGCTGAAAAAGAGAAAAACAAACTTCACAAATGTATTATCTGAAAGATTATCTCACCACATTACTAAAATGATACATGTGGTAACAGAAATAAATCTCAAGAACATTATGTGAGATGAAAGAAGGCAGAAACAGAAGAGTACATATTGTTCGACTCTACTCATGTGAAATTCCAAATCCTGCGAAGTAATCTGTGGAAAGAGAAACCTGAAAAATGGTTGTTTTTGCTGGTATGGGAGTCATTGGAAATGGGCAGGAGAGAATTTTCTGGTGTGATAGAAATCCACACCTTCCCTAAGGTCTTGATTACATGGCTATTCAGTAGCTATTTCATGTGTATTGACTTTTTTATTTGAATTTGTCTTACCTTATTCTTTGTTCTTTATGCACCCAGGTGCCACATTCTACCCTCCAGCCTTAACCTGTTTCTATCTTTCCCATCTAGGTCCTGGTTTAGTGGAAGATAGTTCACGGTCCAGAAACATGTGGCCCTCTAACCTCAGAATTCTCCAGAGGTTTTTGAATCTACTCTTGCACAAAGAGAATTTTGGATCTTCTTGTGAAATATGGTTACTCGCTAACTAGCAACACCTGGCCAAGTACTCACTGTTGATGTCATGAAACCAGTTTCATACAGGTACATATTTTAAAGCTTTTGATTATAAATAAGTAAGAAAATAAAAAGGTGTAAGATTGGCAAGCTGTTAGGCAGTAGAATGGTCTACATACTAATCCTTAGATTCTACGAATGTGGTGGTTTATTGTGTAATACTGTGAAAAAGGATCTTGGCATTTATGATCAATTTAGGGGTATTTGAAAGGGCAGATGGATTATTAGCCAGTGAGCCTAATGCAAACACAAGAGCAGAGCGCGTCATTATCACACAAACATCCAAAAAGTTTATACAATACGTGCACACAGTCCATAAGAAGGAAATTATGCAGCACACATCTTTTTTCATAGATATCTTTCCAGGGCAACAATATTGATCATGCTTTAAACAAAAATCCCAAGGCTTGGTAAAACAGAGAACTGGACACTAGATGGCAATGTTGAAATAAAAATTTTGGAAAACAAATGCTTTAACTGTGACAAGCAGTAAATCCTGTTACTGGATCCTATTATTGACAGCTGGGAAAGAACAGTGGTCAGTTAAGATTGTATTACCTTGGAGGCTCCACACTTCCCCAGTTGGGTTGCAAACATCCACTCCACAAGATTTGTAAGACTGCCTTCAGATTTGCTTTGTTGTCTTTGAAACAGAAATTTTGCCCTAAACACTTGTACCAAACGTGGCAGATGGCTTGCCACTTGGCTATCTGCTTATCCTGAAAGTCGAATCTGAATCTTGTACCATGTTCTGTGCAGCACAGGAAGCCCTGGCAGTTAGCTGAGAAACACTTTCTGTCTACTCCAAGAAACTCTGGGGGTTCTGAGATTCCAAATCCCAAAGGCCTTGAACTGAATCTTCTGGGAAGTTACACAAGGCGTCTTCAAAAAGTGATTCAAATCCTGTATGTGGATTTCGGGGTTTTGCAACAAAATACATTTATCTTTTTTTTTTTTTCATTTAGCTTTTAATTCTATTTTTCTATGAAATTTCTGAAGTTCTGAACTTTCCTTAGTACAGTAAACTTTCCCTAGTAAAGAAAGTTCATGACCTTTCCTTAGTACTGAGCCCGCAAAGACACTGGGCTAGCTTAAACTTGCCTTCAGTCAGTTCCTTTTTTTTGGTAGATATTCTCCACCCTGATTTTCTTCTGTCTCTATTTCTCCCTCCCTCTACACACACTCATTCACACTCACAATCATTGGTGTTTGTGCAGTATAACCACGTGATCTCAGTTAACTCCTTCACTGGTCTATTTCTCCTTCCCTGTTTCGCTACACGTGAGTAACAACAACAGCTGTTCCCATGCTGGAGTCTCAGATATGTACATTTGTGCTCCGATCCACCCACAAAAATGTGTGTGTGTGTGTGTGTGTGTGTGTGTGTGTGTGTGTGTGTGTGTGTGTATTTTAATAGCTATTATGGAGAAAATCAGAGCTTTATTAGCTTCTTTTTTTAAATTGGTAAAGCAGATACATAGAGAGAAGGAGAAACAGAGAAAGATCTTCCGTCTGCTGGTTCACTCCCCAAGTGGCTGCAGTGGCGGAGGTAAGCCCTTCCTGAGCCAAAAGCCTCCTCTGGGTCTCCCACGCGGGTGCAGGGTCCCAAGGATTTGGACTGTCCTCGACTGCTTTCCCAGGCCACAGGCAGGGAGCTGGCTGGGAAGTGGAACAGCCAGGACATGAACTAGCACTCATATAGGATCCCGGTGTGTAAAAGTGAGGATTCTAGCCACTGAGCTACCACACCAGGTCCACTGTATTAGTTTTTATACATTGATGTTGTGATTCAGTTTGTTCTTAATTTGTGTTGTACTGACTCAAAACACTCATAAAACTCTATGACTGAGTTTGCAAGGTTATTTTCTGAGTCACAGCTCAGTCATGTTTCAGGCACAACATAGGCCTATAATAGCACTGAGTCATGGATACACATTTTACCTTATGGGAAGCAGTTCAAAGCGAATAGTGGCACCTTCATTTGCAGAGATTCCACCTGCTCTGGGAGCCGACCATTCTGGCCTCAGCTGGGGAAAAAGAACATGCACATGTTCATCTAAGACATGGCATAGGGAGAGTTTGAGGTCATGATGTGGTACAGGCCATTGTTAAAGATTCAAAGGCAATTTGGCTCTTCCTGCTCACAGGCAACCAACAAGAGAATAAACTAGTGACCCAACTGAGACACTATCAGGTTGATAACATTTGAGCATCTAATCAAATTCAGTATCCTTCAGTCCAGTGAGTGACTGAGTGCCTACTGTGGCTTGGGTTTGTGAAAGGTAAAGAAGTGAATGAGGCTTCAGGAGATATCATCTAGAAGAGCCAGTATGTGCAAAGACACACAGCATGCACCTCCATGGTAGGCTGCCAGGCCCGGCCACTTGGTGTATCTTTGCTTGCAGCCTATGCTGAATGCCTGAGCATAGTTAGATTCCTTGACTTTTGACTGAATGAATGTGTAGTCTATGCATGACAGAACATGATGATGCTCTTGTAGAGACAGAGACTGCTACTGGACTGCAGGTGGAATAAAAAATAGTGCTGATGGAAAGGACCAGGGGAGATTTCTGAGAGAAGGAGGTATTTGAGTAGCGGCTCGAAGAATGGGGAGAATTCTGATTGGGAAAGGGATGGTTTGATAGGGATTCATTCCTTGCCCCAGGATGGAACATGATGAGCACAGATTGGGAAGTCAAGAGGCAAGAGGAATGTATGCTTTAAAAAGATAAACACCTAAAACAAAACCAACCCAGCTAATGCGTTTGAGGGTGCTTCGAAATGTTCATGGAAAAATGGAATTAAAAGGTCATTGTGACACACAAAAATCAGATCCCCTGTTTGGTTACTTAATGACGCATATTTTCACATGAAATCTTTTTAGAAACGTGTTACTATAACAGCTTTTGATTTAAAACTGTTTGTATTGACAATAACTGTCCATACTTCTGGGCTACAGTGTTACATTTCAATGTGTGTATACAAAGTGTACTGACCATAATAGAGCAATCAACATTTCCCCTTCTTTACATTACTTTATGGTCGAAGGCTTGATGCTTGTTTCTTCTATTTACTCTTACAATATATACTGGATTGTTGTAAACTGAATTCACCCCAAAATCCAGGTGTAGTTTTTTTTTTTTTATAATATGCATTTTCCACAAATTCTTTGAAGTACGTTTGAATAGGCTTTCTGTATCAGTCCCTGCTCAAAGTGCTGCATACTTGTCAACTCTGTTTCATGGAAGAGTCTGTGGGGTATGTGTTAAAATGATCCGCATCTAACAGGAGAGGCTGAGGCATGGAAAGGTGAACTAATGACCCATATTCACACACGTAGTGGCTCCTGCATTCAAACCCAGGCAATCTATCTCCCTGGACTCTCCTGACTGTGGACTGCAGAAGTGGGTACAGATCGCCTTTCTCGCTGTATCTGGGCTTTCGAAAGTGACTTTGCACCTCCTCCCATCAAGAGGAAGAACCTGGGTTAGTTTCGTGACTTGCTTTGGCTAGTCACATGGAACAGAAGCAACATTGTGCCAGTTCCGAGCTTAGACCTCAAAAAACCACACATGCTTCTGTTCTCACCCTGGGAAGCCAGCCTGCTGCCGTGTGAACAAGCCTGGGTTGCCCTGCTGGTTGAAGAGCAATGCATGGCCCAGTTACCTCTTTGGCTCTGGCAGTAGCCAATTCCCAGAACCACTCAGCTGAGTCCAGCCCGAAATGTCAACCCACAAAAACAGGAGCTGAACAAATTGTGATTGTTTTAGGTTCCTAAGCTTTGGGATAGTTTGTTAAGCATCAAAACCTGGTTAATAGCTTGACTGTGCTCCCTGTCCATTATTGCACACTTTTTAAAAAGTTTTTTTTAATTGATTTATTTTTATTTGAAAGGGATATTTGCAGAGAGAAGAAGAGATAGAGAGGGAAAGATCTTCCATCTGCTGGGTCACTCCCTAAATGATAGCAACAAATGGAGCTAAGCCAGTCTGAAATTAGGAGCTAGAAGCTTCTTCCAGGTCTCCCATGCAGGTGCAAGGTTCTAAGAACTTCAGCCATTCTTTTCTGCTTTCTCAGGCCATAAGCAGGAAACAGGATCAGAAGTGGAGCAGCCAAGACACAAACTGGCACCCATATGGGATGCCAGCACTTGAAGGTGGAGAATTAGCCTATTGAGCCATAATGCCTACCACAATTATTGCACACTTTGTGCAGCATATTTCATAGCTGATTGTGCATGGCACCTCATTTGGTTTTCACAGATATTATATGAGATGGGTTTTTTTTAAAGTAAATACTGTAGAAATTTCATTGAGTTGCCCAAGATTAAATTGTCAATGGGTAGAAGGGGCACAATTGAAATGTAGAAAATTTGTAAAGCTTCAAAAGCCATTAAGTCAAATGAGACTAGTGCTGGTAGGGAACAGTAGCAGGCAAGAGGATGAATTGGGCCAGCTGCTGGCTCTGTGGACTGTAAAGATGCTATGAAAGTTCAAGGTAAGTTGAAAAACAAATGTGTAAGAAACCCTAGAGATGGTAGGGGAAGGAAAAGAAGAAAGTCGGGCTCTACTAGGATGGGGTGCGGGGGAGCTTTGAATTATGCTCTTTCTCTGTTCTCCAGGGTGGATCACGGATGTCTTTGTTGTTATGTAGAACTGAAATGTAACAGCTCCAGCCTTGGGTGTCCAGGGGCTATGGGTTAACAGCATGGTGATTGCCAGCAGTGAGGAGCAGAAAACAATGGGGCAGGCAGATGATTAAGACTTTGTGTATTCCCTACTCTCTCCCATCTCCTCCATGCTTGCAGGATTGGAAAATTGCATTACAGAGAAAAACATTTTTCAGTGGAGATGTTTGAAGGTCAAGGTTTATGCATCTTGAGCAGTAATCTGGTGTGAGGTTCAAGGTCACCTGTTGAAGGTGAAAGATGTGAAACAGATACTCTCCCCACAACTCCTGAGGAATGACATAAACAGGAGCCCAGGCTTTCACTCCCACTCTGATTACCAGGGGAAAATGAACTCAGAGGCAAAAAATATCAACATTTTGGCAGGAGACCAACTTGTTTGAAAGAACACCAC